AGGTTGCCAAAAACCTTCAATTTGTAGAATAACGCAATAAAGTGAAGCACAATAAAACGAGGTATGCCTGTATATACTTCCGTGTTTATTGACGCCACCTGTATATAGCCTTCTGTGTTTATGCATATCTTTGTATATGTTCTTCTGTGTATATGCACTTGTGTTCATATACACGTGTGTATAAACACTTTTGTGTATATGTTATTGTTAGGTGCCATCAAGTCAGTTCCAACTCATGGTGACCCTATGTACAACAGAATGAAACGCTGCCCAGTCCTGTGCCATCCTCACAGTCGTTGTTATGCTTGAGCCCAATGTTGCAGCCACTGTGTCAGTCCATCTCATTGAGGGGCTTCCTCTTTTTCACTGATCCTCTACCAAGCATGATACCCTTCTCCAGGGACTGATCCCTCCTGATAACATGTCCAAAGTATGTGAGACGAAGTCTTGCCATCCTCCCTTCTAAGCAGCATCCTGACTGTACTTCTTCTAAGAGAGATTTGTTCATGGCAGTCCATGGTATACTTAATCTTCTTTTCCAAAACCATAATTTGTGTATATACACTTGCATTTATGCACTTGTGTGTATATGCATTTCTGTGTACATGCATCTCTGTGGCACACACCTCTTGTGTACATGGTCTTCAGTGTACATGCACTTGTGTGCACAAACACTTCTGTGTATATTGTTCTGTGTACACACTTCTGTGTATACACCCTTCTCTGTGTACATACTCACTTGTATATATACTCTGTGTACACATGTTGGTATACACACACATCTATGTTTATTCACTCCACCTGTATATATACCTCTGTGTTTATTTGCTCTACCTGTATATACGTCTGTGTAATACATGCCTATGTGTGTATGCACACCTACGTGTATACACTTCTGCTCGGGTATGGGTAATGAGGAGGTGGGTGCGGGTAGAAGGCAGCCCAGGTGTGAGTAATGAGGAGGGGGTGGGGTATGGAGAAAGCACAGTTGTAAAGAGTAAGCAGGTGAGAGGGGCCAGGAAAATGCCCGGGTGTGAGCAATGAGATGGTGGGCGGGATCAGGAAGCAGCTCAGGTATGGAAAGTGAGGAGGTGGGCAAAGCCAGGGCAAAGCCAAGGTGTGGGTAATGAAGAGGTAGTGGGAGTAGAAGATAGCTCAGGTGCAGGTGATGAAGAGGAGGGTGGGGTCAGGAGGCAGCCCAGGAATGGGAAGTGATTTGTCGGGTGGAGGGCAGAAGAGGCAAGAAGGGCCATAAGGAGGCACAGCTGTGGAATGTAAGGATGTAGAGGTGTCAGTAGAAGGCATAGCTTTCACAAGGGAGGAGACTGAAGAGGCAGATAGCAGCCCAGGTGTGGGTAAGGAGAAGGTGGAGGAATCAGGAGGCAACCCAGGTGTGGGTAGTGAGGTTTGAGGGATCAGAAAGAAGCCATGTTATGAGAAGTGAGAAGGTGGTAGGGGGCAGGAGATTGCCCAGGTGTGTGTGTTTTGAGGCTGTAGGAAGGGTCATTAGGGTGCCGAGTTGTGGATAGTGAGGAGGTGGGAGGGGCAGGAGGCAGACCTGTATGGGAAATGAGGAGGTAGGAGGGACCTTCTTTTTAAGGGCAGCCGGCTGACCAATGCCTCTGTGCTCTTCGGTCCCATGGTCCTCCTTATTTCCTCCATATGTTCAACAATGTCTTTGAGTCTCCCTTTGCCAGATGAATACTCCCCAGTGTGGTTATTATGGCCACAAACTACAACCGTTGCCTAATCATGTACCCGGTCCCAGTCAACAATACGCCCCATCTATCTGTCTTTTCTCTTTTCTGCAGGCTCTTCCAGACAATCATCCACCAGGCCAAGAAGAAGAGATGGCAGGCTGAGGCCCTGTATCGACTGCAGGCCAGAAGGTGACCAAGGGCTGGGAACCAGCAGACACCCTGGGGGGAACAGACTGGAGTAGACTTGAGTCATTCCCTCCCCCCCAGATAAAAGCAACAGCTATGGGTCCTATAGCATTCCCAGTCATTCTAAGCATTTGGGGCCGTTACTAGTACTGAAATACTACCAGGTTCCATCTCAGACCCCTGGGGCTGAGCAGGCTGAGGCAGGCACTGGATGCCTCCTGGCCTGGCTGCTCCTTTTCTACCTCCTTTGTCCCTGTACCTACTTCTGTCTTTGCAGAGCTCCATACAGGAGACTGGTGAAGAGCTGGTCAACAAGGTCGTTCGTTATTTTCCATCTTTTTGTTTGTTTTTAGTAACCACTTCACACCCACTAGGATGGAATCTCATTGTGGATTTGATTTGCATTTCCCTGCTGACTAATGGGAGCCCTGGTGGCGCAGTGGTTAAGAGCTTGGCTGCTAACCAAAAGGTTGGCGGTTCAAATCCACCGGCTGCTCCTTGGAAACCCTATGGGGGCAGTTCTACTCTGTCCTATAGGCTCACTATGAGTCAGAATTGACTGTAAAAGGTTTTTTGAATGACTAATGATGTTGAGCATTTTTTCATGTGTTTGTTGGCCGTTTGTGTATCTTCTTTGGGAAATACACGAGTTTTGTCCATTTTTAATTGGTGTTTTTGTTTTAAACATTCTTTACATATTCTGCAAGATTATGTCTTGCAAATATTTGATCCCATTCTGTGGGTTTTCCTTTCATTCTATACATAGTGTCCTTTGATACACAGAAGTTTTTAATTTTGATGAAATCGAATTTTTCTATATTTTGTTGCTTATGTTTTTTTGATTCACATCTAAGAATCCACTGACAAATACAAGGTCATGAAGATTTACACTATATTTTCTTCTAATAGCTTTTTACTTTAATTCTTACATTTAGCTTGTTGATCCATTTTGGGTTAACTTTTGTATATCTTGTGAGGTAGGGGTTCCAGCTTCATTCTTTTGTACATGAATATCCAGTTTTCTCAGCACCATTTGTTGAAGAAGAAACTATTTTTTCCCCATTGAATGTTCTTGGTACCCTCTTGAAAATGAAGTGGCCGTATACGTATGGGTTTTTCTCTGGACACACAATTGTATTCCATTTGTCTGTTTCTATCCTTACGCCAGTACATTGTTTTGATCACTGTAGTACTGTAGTAAGTTTTGAAAGCTGGAAGTACGACTCCTTCGACTTAGTCAAAACAATGTTGAAAACAAACCATCTGTAACCCCTCGAAAGGCCGTATGAATTTGCTGTCATCCGCGTATCCATTTCCCTAGGTGGGGAGGGCGCGCAGGCTGGGCTGGCGGTGCGCGTGTGGGCTGGAGGCTTCATCTAGGTTGATGTCCCGCCCACCGGCTCCGGAAAACGTGGTGTTCTGTACCTCCCAAACCAAACTGAGTCCAGGGCGCCGCTAGAGGCGTCACGCGGCTGCCTAGGATAACCGAGTCCCTGGATTCAGGGCCAAGGTGGGACCCTCTGTCCGTCCTAACGTCGGTCCGGTCGCTAGAGGTGAGCGTTCAACCCGCTGGAACAGTCGCCATTTTCCACCCCAGCCAGTCCTCACCCCAAACCCGGGGCCAGCAGGGCGGGCGGAAGTCGAGGTGGGCGTCTCGTCCCCGGGCTACCGGGACCGGTTAGCGGGGCTGAAGGATGAGGCAGGGGCTTGCAGGATCCTGCGCCCCGTGGCCCAGGTGGGGAAACTGAAGCCCGCAGAGGGAGGGAGGCGGAGTGGGCTTTCCCCAGAGGCTCCGGAGTGAGCAGGGGACATACCCTAGGACCCAGGCAATGGGATTTTTCTCTGGCCCCAGGCTGACCGCCCCGGAGCTGGCAAGGGTCCCGTGCTCATAGTGGCCCGGGCTCGTGCCTAGCGCTTTACAGCGGTTTCCGCGCGTCATCCTCAAGGGACCAGAGCGGTGCGTGTGGTTACTCCCCATAACAAGAAGTCTTAACTAAGGAGGACACAGGCTGGGGGGAGTGACTTACCCAAGGATCAAAGATGTGGTGAAACCTATATTCACTATAAATTAGTAAATAAACACAGGTAAACCCTTGGGTACCTTGCTGGCTAGTTAATCCGCCCCTGCCCAAGGTCATGAAACTAGAGAGAGCTGAAGTCGGTTCTCGCCTGGGCTGGGTGTGTTCCGTCTCTACTGGCTTAGGGGCCTTGGTCACGTGTGCCGTTGCTTTCCGGGAATCCTACTCCTCGAGTCTTGCTCTGGAGCTGCTGCTTGCCGGCTCTGCGGGGGCGGGCCCGCGGGCGGGGCTTGGAGGCGAGACTTGGGAGCCAGGGTACCTCTGCATGGGCGGTCCAGGGGAGGGCAGGTCAGGGCAGGGTGGCAGACGTAGGGCTTCCCAGGTTTAGAACACTGGCCTTGGATAAGGAGCATTCCTTTGTAGGCGTTCCAGGGACCCGAGAAGACACGGGCTCAGAGCAGACAGCCCTGGGAAGGGAGGGGCTGACCCCCTGAGGCTTGGCCCTGTCTCTCCAGGTGCCCAGGTTCTGATCACTGCACCCAGTGATGCGCTGCAGAAGATTGTGCCTGGGCCTGGGGTTCTGCCTGCTAGCAGGTGTGGGCCTCTGTGTCCTGTGGTGAGTATGCCTCACGGAACCCTTCCCCCTCCACCCCAACCCGAGGACTCTTCCCTCTCTTGGCATCTCAACCCCAAACCTTGATCCCTTCACGGGCTTCTCAGGTCCTGCCCACCTCTCCTGGCTCACCTGACCCCCAACCCCAGCCTAAACTAGTTTCCGTTTTAGAATTTTACCCTATACTGGCCTCCTGGCTTTTGCAATTGCCCTTCCCCTGCCATGACCATCCTTCACCTGTCTTGAGGAAGACAGGTGGAAAATTCATCCCTGCATTTCCTCTGTGAAGCTCCTAGGCCAGCCCCTCCTGGGGCTCCCACAGCCCCTGTGCGACGTGCCTGTGTCCACACCTGACCCCTGGTGCTGTGTGCTGGGCCTGGCATCAAGCCATGCCCCATGAATGTGTGAACGAATGACTGAATGCCAGGCCCTGTGATTCTCCATTTAGAAGCCAGGAGTGAGGGCGGATACACCACTAACTTGCACTAAGTGGGTTTTCAGCCTCTTAGCAGGGAGTTGAGTCAACAGATGTTTTTCTTTTCCCAGGGTGTATATTGAGAACTGGCTGCCGGCCTCTTATGTCCCCTATTACCTCCCCTGCCCCAAGATCTTGTAAGTATGGTGCTGGGGGGTTTGGGGGCCCTGTGGGCTGCCTGGAGCAGGACAGGAGAGTTTTTACGGCTACTTTGTCTGTGGGTTCTTCTGTCCTAAGCTCATGGTTCTGATGAGTGTTTAGGTAATTTTTGGGCTCGCACAAATGCCGAGTGAAACTCTGCTGTTTCAGTCTTCAGGCGTCCTTGCAGCCCCCCTGCACAGTTTGACCTTGGATGTGCTGCATAACTCTGAGCCTAACTTTCTACATCTGTAGAATGGGATAGTGGGGGTGATCCATCTTGCTCCCCACAAGGGCAATAGCACATCACACACTCACACATGCATCACCCCAGCTGTGCCCAACAAAATTGTGGCTGGACTGCACCTCGGCTAGGGCTGGGGAATACTAGGTATTATCATGAAAAACAAAAACCAATCTACCTTGCCGATTCAAGATATGAGAAATGCTATCTCTTTGATTTAAACCCCATTGATTTGATTCCTAACAAGGCATTCAATTCAAGAGTATATATATATATATAAAGATTTGAAAGTTCATGGAGGCTTAACCTATCCTATCATATATGACATTAAAAATTAGTAAACAAATTGCAGACAACTGTGTCACCAGGTGGCCTGATCCTTAGGAGCACCTGCTTTAGGACAGTCGACCTCAGACCTCATTTTGGAGCTGGGTCTGACACACTCATTGGGTGGCCATGGGCAGGCCTTTTCCTCCTCTGGACCTCAGTTCTACCACCTGCAGAATGACTCTGTGGAAGGTTTAGCATCCCTATTTCAAGAAGGAGGGAACTCAAGTTTGGGGAGTGAAATGTACAGCCCCAGGTCCCTCAGCCAGTTGGTGGCAGAGCCATAGGCAATCCCAGGTGTCTACCTTGCAGCCCTGCCCCTCCTTCCTCCGGAACCCCCTTCTTCTGGGCTCAGGTTGGCATTTGTTGAGGCAAGCAGAGGCTGACCGCAGGCTGCTTTCCAAGAAGGGGCGAGGGTGCCTGAGCACGTGCTCCTTGCTGGGCTAAATGCCCACATTACTTCGTTTAATTGTAACAGCAACTCTAAGGGTTAAGAATGGCTGCCCCAGATGAGGAAAGGTAGGTGTATCACTCAGGGTTCCTTCCACCAGAGAAACAGACCATAGTAGTGTATGTATACCTGTATGTGTTTATTCATTTAGGTTTATAGAAAGAAATTGTGAGGGCTGGCTAGGAGACTCTGAGATCCATAGGGCAGGCCACATCAGGAAGAGCAAGTTGGGAACTCTTGGGCAGAGGCTGATGCTGCAGTCTTTTTCTTTTCTTTTAATGCTGCAATCTTGAGGCATAATTTCTCCAGGAAAACAGAAGTTTTGTACTTAAGGCCTTTCAATTGATTGGATCAGGCCCACCCAGATTATTCAGGGCAATCTCCTTTACCTAAAGTCGGCTGATTATAGGTGTTACTCACATTTATAAAATACCAATCTTGATGAGTGTGGGTGGAGTAACTGAGTACTATCACCTAGCCAAGAGGATACGTCCTGTTGGGTTCAGGTGAAATAATTCACCCAAGGTGTCCAGGATAGAAAGCAGCAGAGGTGAGCCTGCGGGTCTTTGCAGCTCCTCAAACCTTCTAGGAGATGCTGACCTCTTACAGAACAACATGGTTGAAAAAGCATCTGCTGTGGACCCATGTGGCACTGGGTTCGAATCTTTGTCCTGCCACTTTGTCAGTGATCCTGACCCCCGTCCTCTGTAGGGTGGGCAGAACTGTGGTGAATTTCAAAGAGTTGGCATGGACCCTGAGGGGTACCTGCCCATCTAAACCCATTGCTGTCGAGTCAGTTCCAACTCATAGTGACCCTATAGGACAGAGTAGAACGACCCCATAGGGTTTCCAAGGAGCGCCTGGTGGATTTGAACTGCTGACCTTTTGGTTAGCAGCTGTAGCTCTTAACCACTATGCCACCAGGGTTTTCCCTACCCATCTACCAAAAACCCATTGTTGTCGAGTCAATTCTGACTCATAGCGGCCCTACAGGACAGAGTATAACTGCCCCATAGAGTTTCCAAGGAGCGCCAGGTAGATTCAAACTGCCGACCTTTTGGTTAGCGGCTGTAGCACTTAACCACTATGCCACCTTTCCTCTGCCCATCTAGGGGCTGATTAATCTCAGCTTCATCATTATTCACAAGCTGAGTTCTCTGCCGCCAGTCCAGACACTAACAGCACTTTCTCGCCTCTGCCACCAGCAACATGAAGCTGCAGTACAAGGGGGAGAAGCCATTCCAGCCTGTGGCACAGTAAGGAGACTGTCATTTCTCCCATTGGTGGCCCCTGGGGTAGGGCCACCTCCCCTCACCACTGGCCCTTCTTGGTTGCAGGTTGCACTACCCTCAGCCCAAGCTGCTGGAGCAGAGGTAGGTGTTGGTTAGGGTTTGAGCACAGAATGGAGAGTCCTGGGGGAGGAGGTGGGTAGAGGGGTCAACAGAAGCCCCGATTTACAAGCCAGGGTGGTGGAGGTGGAGTTTCAGAGTGACTTGGGGCCCAGGTAGCCTGGGACTGTGGAGGGACACAGGCTGGGCATTGGCTCCGGGTGGGTCCCTGTCGTAGTCCTAGCTGTGTGACCTTCGGCAGGTTACCGAATTGCTCTGAGTTTTTTCTGTGTAAGAGGAATAATAATAGTACATACCTCATAGGAGAAGGAGTCCTGTGGTGCAGTGGTTAAGTGTTTGGCTGCTGACTGAAAGGTCAGCGGTTTGAACCCACTAGCAGCTCTGTGGGAGAAAAGACCTGGCAATTTGCTCCTGTAAAGATTACAGCCTAGGAAACCCTATGGGGCAGTTCTCTGTCCTATAGGGTTGCTATGAATTGGAATCGACTTGACAGCACCCAACAACGGCCTCATAGAGGGTTGGGAGACCAAATGAGATGATGTTTGTAAAATCTGCAGCATTGTGCTTGCCCCATTGTCAGTACTCAGGAGGCTATTAATGATAGCGTTGTTAGCATCCTCGTTGATGACTCCTGTTTATTAAGCACTGAGCAGACCCATGAATGCCAGACTTAGACACTTAACATGCATTAACTCCTGGTCCTCCTAACCATGTTAAAAAACAAACCTGTTGCCGTCGAGTCGATTCCAACTCATAGCGATCCTAGAGGGCAGAGTAGACCTGCCCCATAGGGTTTCCAACGCTATAATCTTTACGGAAGCAGGCTGCCACATCTTTCTCTTGTGGACCGAGTGATGGGTTCAAACCATCGACCTTTCGGTTAGCAGCTGAGCGCTTAACCACTGCACCACCAGGCTCCATATTCCCGCTTTCCACATGAGGAAACGGAGGCGCAAAGACAGGGACAAAGCTGCCCTGGGTCAGTCACACACTGCGTAGGAGGCAGAGCCAGGCTGAGACTCAGGCTTTCCCAGAGGACAGGTCTCAGTCCCCCCGTGGCCTTCCCCTGCTGCCAGGCCGACACAGCTGCTGACACTCACGCCCTGGTTAGCACCGATCGTCTCGGAGGGAACCTTCGACCCCATGCTTCTGCAGAACATCTACCAGCCGCTGAACCTGACCATTGGGCTCACAGTGTTTGCCGTGGGGAGGTGAGTCCCAGGCTGGGGTGGGGGCTTCTCCCTGAGCCACAGGAGCTTACAGTCTAGGGGAGACACGGGACCTGGAGCTGAGACCTGGCCTGGCACCATGGAAGGCCCTGGGCCAGGTGCTGAGCAAATGGGAAGGTAGATAATAGAGTGTGATGGTATGGAAGGGAGACTTCCCTGATGAGGAGGCTTGGCCCTGGCCTAGAAAGAGGGGGGAGGCAGCCTAGGGGACGGAACAGCAGGAACTGCTTCTTCTGAATAGTTCAGGTAAGTTTCAAGGAATAGAAATCCCCCTGACCACTTTACATAAATGGGGTTCATAGGCCATAGGCAGGCCTCAAGACCCTCTCCCACCCCTCTAATGTTCCTGCCCCACTCTCTGGATCTCTGCTGTCCCCTTCCTGGCCCTACACGGCCTTCCCTTTAGGAGCCTCTATCTGGCAACTTCCCTCTGGGTCCCTTCCTGGGACTCCTGAGAAAGAGGGAATGTGATGGGGCCACAAGGCCTAGGGCACTGGCGAGCTGATGGATGGCCCACCTGGGGTCAGGCAGCCCCTTATCCAACCACCTGTAGCCTGGGCTGGGGCCATGGCATCCACTGCCCACCCCACACCCCGCCCCCCACAACTCACCTTCCCTTGGTGCTTCCACTTGCTTGTTTCTGGGTGACTTCATCTCTGAACCTCACTGTTCCTGCCTATAAAAAAGAGATGAGAACACCTATCTTATAAGGATTAAAAGAGGTAAGAATCCCGTAGAACATTTAGAAAGTGCTCAGTGAAAGTTAGCTTGGTTTATAAATATAAGAATCGTTACTGTTAAGTATCATCCTTACAATAGTCTTAAGAGGTCGGGCCTATTTGAATTTGACAGACTAGGACCCTGGGGGTCAGACCTTAGTAACTCTTGAAGTGGGGAGCTGGACCCCATCCTGGCTGACTGCAGAGCTCATGCCCTAGGCGGCAGTGGTGGATTTGGACCAGGGTCTCATCACCAGGTACACTGGCTTCATCCAGCACTTCCTGGAGTCGGCTGAGATGTTCTTCATGCACGGTTACCACGTGTACTACTACATCTTCACTGACGACCCAGCGGCCATGCCCCACGTCCCACTGGGCCCCGGCCGGCTCCTCAGTGTCATCCCCATCCAGGGTTACTCCCGCTGGGAGGAGATCTCCATGCGCCGGATGGAGACAATCAGCCAGCACATTGCTAACAGGGCGCACCGCGAGGTGGACTACCTCTTCTGCCTTGATGTGGACGTGGTGTTCCGGAACCCGTGGGGACCTGAGACCTTGGGGGACCTGGTGGCCGTCATTCACCCAGGCTACTATGCTGTATCCCGCCAGCAGTTCCCCTATGAGCGCAGGCAGGTTTCTGCTGCCTTTGTGGAGGACAATGAGGGAGACTTTTATTATGGCAGGGCGGTCTTTGGGGGCCGGGTGACCAGAGTGTATGAGTTCACCAGGGGCTGCCACATGGGCATCCTGGCTGACAAGGCCAATGGTATCATGGCAGCCTGGCAGGAGGAGAGTCACCTGAACCGCCGCTTCATCTCTCACAAGCCCTCCAAGGTGCTGTCCCCTGAGTACCTCTGGGATGACAGGAAGCCCCAGCCACCCATCCTGAAGTTGATCCGCCTTTCAACACTGGACAAGGGTACCAAATGACTGAGGGGCTGATGGCGGAGCGGGGGCTGCCACATGCTGTGACCCAAAGCCCTGCGCAGCCAGGTCGCCCCAGTGGAGTAGTTGAGTCCTCGCAGTGGAGCACCTGGGTCCCCCCAGGGAGCCACCTTATACTGGTACCTCACTTCTTTGAGTCTTTGGTGGGCACCAGCTCTGCCCTGCTTACTACCTCGCAGTCTGTCAGGAGAATCCAACCAGAAAAAGGACGTGGAAGGGCCTTTGTACACTGTGAAGGGCAATGCACACATGAGAACACAGAGATCACACTAATGTGCACAAGAATGGTTGGACAGGAGGACGAGAGCTAAGGGATGCAAGAAGACAGGGCCTGACAGGCCTCCCACAGCAGAAGTGCCTTCAGGGTGAGGCAGCAGAGCCTCAGCCCCACTCAAGTGCCTGAGATCCTACTTGACTCCCCTCTGGTTGCATATTGCCCTTAAAGTTGCACTGATAACACCCTAGTATGAAAGATTTCCCAGACCCCTTTTCTCTGGTTGGAGGGGGTCCAGAGTACTGTGATGCCCCCAAGCACATGTAGCCAAGTCCTCACTCAGGACCCAGGAACCAGCCTTTGAAATGTGCAAGGTGTAGGCTTTCTGAGTTCAAGTCCAGCCCATATCCTATGGCCAGCCATACACCCTTGTACCAGCTGCCTCCTTTGCAAGAGGGCTTGGGGCAGTTTTAATAAAGGTGGCATGTGATGGACCCTCACCAGGGTTGTGTCCACCTGCATACCTGAGTGCCAGGCGCCGGAGACCCAGGCAGCTTGGATTTCAGACATACTTGCAGTGGGGGTGAGGGGTACAGTTATTCCAGAAAACCTGGGGTAAAACCAGGATGGTACGACTTGGTTCTGATCCTCCTGGGAGTCTGGGTGAAGTGGAAACCTGCTGATGACTGACTTGCACTCCCAACTGAGTAAAAAGCAGAACCCTCACCTGAGAGACGGGGCTTTTACCTATTGGTCCCTGACTGTATCATTGATGTGTATCCTGGTTAACTTCAGCCCTATGAGGCTCTGGCTGGCATGAGGCTCCCAGGTGGTGGTGTGTGCCCAGGATTAGAGGGTGTGTAAGGGTGGCCTCACCAGCCTGGACCAGAGGGACTTCAGAGACCTATGGTGGTTCTGTCTGCCTGGGAGGGCAGAGATGGAGGTGGGGGCTGGGGTCAGGGCTGGGTTGCCTGGTGCCAGCTTCCCTGGGGGCAGCAGCATTTCCACTGAAGGGGGAGGCAGAGGGTAGGGAGCAGGTGCCCACCCACCTGGCTGCCCCTAGCAAAGCTGGGGACCAGCCTCCAGTCCACTGTTATCTGTGGCCTGTGGATTGGCTGGTGAGTAGGGACAGATGCCAAGAGTGTGGGCAGATGGAGTGACTGTGTGAGGAGACAGCTTGGGTTAAGAATGGACTCAGGGAGAGGCCCCAGGTGCTACCTGAGCAGAAGGGCAAGGGGCAGACTGATGACCCATGTGCCCCCAATGGGGAACACCTTCCCAGGGCTCTCTGCCCTACCCTTGGGGGGGGGGGTGCTGTGTAGCACTGCTGTGGAGGACGAGCAGGTCCTGCCTTCAAGGAGCTGGGAGAAACCCTGAGATGTAGAGACCAGGGAAGGCTTCAACAGAGGTGCCCCTGAGGCCTGGGCAGCATTGGCTTGGCAGAGAAGGGAGATCCCACCTCACTCCCAGCCCAGCTCTGGGCCCTGGCCCAGCAAATTCTGTGGTCCAGCGTCTCCCAGACCCCACCGATGGTCCCTTCTCAGCCTTGTCCCAAGCCCCTAGGGACTATGGCTGACCGTAACCTATTCCCAGGGTGTGAATTGAAACACCTGTTAAGTGACAGAACCCAATTCCTGGAGCCAAATTAGCCCAAGCCAGTTTCCAGGAAGGAGCTGAGGGACTGAGGCCAGAGCAGGTTCGTGGGTGGAAAGAAGTCAAGGGCCTGGGAGTGGGGTGATGGGCCTGACCAAGCAGAGAGAGGCAGTGGTGGGAGTAGCCAGTGGCAGAGTCCCACAGGATCAGGTTCCAGGTTTTCCTAACTATAGGCACCAATCTTGCCAGGACAGGTCAAGGTTTTGTGGGCTCAGAAGTTTTTGAAATTTGGGAGGTACTTCTTCATGAAATACAATACAAAAATTGTAAATACAAAATGCCTGGTGCCCTCCCCACCTTAAAATTAAGGCACCTTAAGCTTCATGTCCTCGTGGTCAACTGCCTTTCTTCCCATACATTACAGTCCAACGTCATCTCAGCTTATAGGGCCTAGCCCAACACACTCAGGCTGCCCACTGGTCTAGCATGAACATCCCACCACCTGGCCAATTCCCAGTAACCCCCTTCTGACATTACCTCCTCCAGGAAGCCTGCCTTGATTCGCATGCCCGCCTCCAGAGTGAGTGCTCTTCCTCTATGTTCCCCTAGTACTTCCTTTACAATGTACCTATGTCCATCTCTCCATCCCTCCCCAGGCTGTAAGCTCCAAGAGGGCACGGATGGTGCCTGACGAGGCTTCGTTGGACTTGCCTTCAAGGCTGGGGCTCTTGTGCAAAGTACAGCCTTTGGGGTCAGATTGACCTGGGTTCAAACCCACAGCTGGGCTACATATGCCTATGACAGACAAGCTTGTATTGTGACTTCTCGGAGCCTCAGTTTCCTCAACTGCAAATGGAACCAGCTGCTCAGACCTCATGAGGGTGCGTTGGGATTAAAGCTGGGAAGAAGACAGCACCTAAAGTGCTTGGACCTCAGCAGTCCGCCCGATCTGGAGAGCCCTCAACACAGGAGGAGGCCTCTGGTGATCAGCTCAGATGTTAGTGATGGTTAAGAGCAACGACCCTCGTTGGAAGCTGGGCTTGGTTCCTTAGAACTGTGTGACCTTGAATACTGGTGCCAGTGGCTCATCTATAAAATGCGGTGAAATCACTGAGTGCCTAGAGGGGGCTCCCTAACAACGGTAACTAATCCCATACTCGCTCGGCCCGGTCCAGCCTGCCTGCCTCTCCTTCCTGGGCTCGCTCCCGCCCCCTCATACACCAGCCGGGGCTTTTGACAGGGGTAGGCTCCTGAGTCCAGTCTGGAAGGACAGGAGGAAGGTGGTGAAGGATGGGGAGTAGGGCCACCTGACCTACTCCCCTGCTTGGACTCCCTGGCCACTGCCTGCTCCAGGTCCCCCTGACCCTGTCTGTCCCCTCGCCGGTCCCTGCAGGTGGCATCAAAAGACCAGGACGGAGGGAGGGATATTTGGTGGGTTCCGTGTCTCCAGGCTCTCCATGTCCCAGGCTAGCGCCTGATGGCCCCTCTTGGCTGAGAGGTGGGTAGCCCCGGGGTCGGACGTGGAGGGGTGGGGAGCACACAGAGCAGGCCGCGGTGGACACGTGGGACCCGCCGAGTGGAGCAGCTGGTGCGTGGCGCGCGCGCGGCGAGGCGGCGCTCACGTGTACGAGCTGTCCGCGGGGGCGCGCATACCTCATGTGCGCGCCTGGACGTGGACACGCGGCCTGGTTGCCCCGCGTGGTGTCCACCCGGGTCTGCAAGCTTTAGAGAGGCCGCGCGCCAGTGGGTGCCCCCAGACCGCCCGCGGGGCCCGCCCTTTACACCTGCGAGACGGGCTGGGGCGGGGCCGGGGCGGGGCCGCGGCTTTCCCCGCCCACCCCGGCCCGAGCCC